TGGTAAAGATACCGATCGGTTAATGAGTCGAGGAATCAACGCGGCTATAGTTCTCGCCGCCGGTTCGGTTGCGGTTACGAAGCTATTAACTATCGATCATGACTATTGGCAGGTAAGCTTAGTATTCACTGACTCTCTTGTGATTGATTGATTCTTAAATTTCTGCAAAGCTTTCTCCTTTTTGGGATTGTACCGAAATTGAATATAGCGATTGTTTACTGTTGTGTCGTAGGGCTGGACTCTTTACGAGATACTTAGGTATGCACCTGAACACAACTGGGTTGCTTATGAACAAATCCTCAAAACAAATCCAGTTTTGGCGAAAATGGCGATTAGTGGAATTGTGTATGCCCTAGGCGATTGGATTGCTCAAGTAAGAAGCTAGAAACCCTCAAATCAATCAGTTTGAGCTCTCTTTAACCATTTTAGATGTAAATTTTTACGCAGTGTTACGAAGGAAAACCGCTGTTTGAGTTTGATCGAAATCGTGTGCTTAGATCAGGTCTTGTTGGATTCACCCTCCATGGTTCACTCTCTCACTATTACTACCAATTCTGCGAGGTATAATCGTTTGTTTTTTCATCTGTCATGATCAGTTTGTAATAGCATGTCGTTGTTGATACAATGCGATGAAAGCTAAATCGTTTCTTTTTATACAAGGCTTTGTTTCCTTTTCAAGAATGGTGGGTAGTCCCTGCAAAAGTCGCCTTTGATCAAACCGTATGGTCAGCCATTTGGAACACTATCTATTACATGGTTCTAGGGCTCTTGCGTTTCCAATCCCCGGCTAACGTCTTCAGCGAAATCAAGACTAAATTTTGGCCAATGCTCACTGTAATTAACAGTCCTTGTGTTTCTCTTCATATCCGTAGAAAAGCTTAAAGTTAGTTAGTTTTTCTCTTGTGTCTCTAAATGTATTTGTCATGATTGTGTTTGTGCAGGCAGGCTGGAAACTCTGGCCATTGGCTCACTTGGTTACATACGGTGTAATTCCTGTAGATCAAAGGCTTCTTTGGGTGGATTGTATTGAACTCATCTGGGTCACTATACTGTCGACGTGAGTCTTCCTTCGTCTTTAATCATTACATATTGCGCATACCAGCTTTGTTTCGGTATTATCGGTTGCCTGATTTTCATTTTAAATTCTTGAAGTTACTCAAATGAAAAAGCTGAGGCAAGAACGTTAGGGGAAACGAACTCCAGTACTCACTCGGACGAGGTTTATAACTGTTCCTTTGTTTCAAGACTCTCTTTTCAAAATTCAATCTTAACCGTTTGAATGTTTGTTGTGACTGTGCTTCTAAATTGCTTTGTGTCTGCAAATACATGACAGGACTAAACAATATCAGCATTTGGTGCTCGAATTTAAAGGCATGTAGATTCAAGATTATAGGTGGATGAAGATTCAAGCACATATTTTTTGTTTTACAAAGAAACCTAATACATGTATATACATTTGGATTCGCAAGCAGAGAATCGATGTCGAAAACCTATCGTGCAATACAGATTAAACCAAACAAAAAACACCCGCC